TGAGTGTATAACTCTGAATTTCTAGTCTTTCTGTCATCGAGACATTCAATAATATTGAGCTCCCTTAGAGTTTCCAGTAAACAGACTACTTCTGTCCTGAGTGTCTGCAAAGGTGGAAGTACATCATGCTGAAGTTACACATGTGCAGTGGGCATTGTTTTACTCCAACAATCACAATGAGTGTGTACACTGGCGTTAATCGGAATGATGATCGGACAAAGCCGCCTTTCTCTATCGGAAGGAAATTTCATTCTGATCAGGCTGAATCAGATCAGAATATTTCAACTGACATGTTTACATGAAGAATTTTTGATCTGATTGGGCATTCATTCCAATTATTTGTGCCCATGTAAACGTAGCACCTGACAGGTCACTAATCAGGCCTTCTCTGTTTGTGTGAAACTGAAGACCCCCTATTTCAGATAAAAAGACAAGTCCAGCTACATTCATGTAAAACACTCAAGATTGTACATTTTCACATTCTACCTAGGCAGAAATGGCTTAATTTAAATGGAAACAAGTGTCAGTGACACTTTGCCTCATTCAAATTCTTTCTTGAAAAAAAAAAAACAATACATTGCAGATCATTACCATGGCCACCTCCTGCTTTTCTCCCGGCAACTTTCTGGAGTTTAGCAAGTCACAGAATAATTCCTGCTCAGAGATCAGCTGTATGAACACACTTCTTCCCATTTAGATGAAAAATTGTGAGCTTGGCAACATAATTATTGTGAAATAATGGAAATGTGTGTGCATGCATTGGAGTGAAGGTGAAATGAATCAATATTTAAAGTAACAACTGAAGATTTTGCAGAAATGAGTAGTGATGTCATCTGACATGTGCAAGGTTTTCCTTCTTTTACACACACACACACACACACACACACACACACACACACACACACACACACACACACACACACACACACACGTCGCGTTATACAGGACATGGGAGTCCAAAGGGTAAAAAGGTCAAGTTGCTGGTCGACCCACTCAATCAAATGGGTCGTTTGGATCTTTATCAGTTGATGAATTCTTAATGAAGCTAACATTTGAGCGGTTTAATTTACAAGGGGTGATTGGTTGTAAAATCACCTAGAAAGAGAAGTAAAAGCAGAACTGTTGGTTTTAGAAAAACATAAAATCTTAATCCACATTCATGGTTTTTCATGTTTAACACAAATATATCATTTAACTTCTTATGCAAACCATCTGTCATCTAAAATGTGCCTATTTCTCTCGTCAGAACAGTGTCCCTTGTCGCTGAGACATAGATGACTTCTTATTCTTGACCCGATGAGCTGGCTGGCCCCAGGTGGCTATAGCTAATCTCAGGAGGGCAGAGGCCAAAAATAGTTAACATGGACACTATTTTATAAACATTTATGTTTCATGTGCTTCACATTTTACTACCTAGAATTTATTGGGGGTTTTACTTGCAGAAGTGGAAGCAGCAACATTAAGAGGAGATGTTTTCACCACTGATATCATCATTTTTCTCTGTTGTTTGAATGGAACCCGCCATTAAATGTAACTTTTTTACATGTGTGTTCCAGGTGTAAACGGGTGTGTGTGCTGTATGTAAAGTGGAGCTGTGTCGGTAAACTTTGAGGAGCTGGTTGTAGACCTTTCTCCCCAGACAAAACCGACCAGCAGTAATTTACTGTGAATATGAGCCAGAAAATTGATTCCCATTTCAACACCGTCTCCTGTCCATCCTGTTGGCTTCAAAGATGTCAACAATATCTAGTCTGACTCGGAGCTTAGCAATCTAGATCCCTGATATGAGTGCTCGGGTGACGGCTGACAGCAGAGTTACAGCCTCAGACTGGGTGAATGTGGTGAGGCAATAACTGGAGGGGCTTCAGCAACTCAGAAGAGGTGTTTCCACTTCAAGGAGCATTTCAGCCTGAGTTTATTTACTTAACATTTCCATAAGGCAGTGAAGTAATAGCTGGCAAGTAGGAAACACTGAGAAGAAATACAGAAGGTGAGAATACATCATACATAATGAAAGATGTTTTTTTTAACTCCCCTGAGTAAGAATCAGATCAAGGAATAATCAAGAAAAAGGCTTTACTTTAGTTGAGATTAAAGGTATTCCTATCAGATGATCCCACTCTGATCAAAACGAGTATGCCTGCAAATTTAGGTAATCTTTGAAATTGTCTTCATTTACTGGGGAAATTCCTCTCTGACCCATCCCTGAGGAGCAGTGAGCTGCTGTTCAGATGGTAACTTTCTGAGTTTAGTATCTTGCCCACGTGTACAACCGCTCTCCCTGTTCAGTCACAACTTCCCCAATAATACATGCCTGCAGACATTCACCCACACCATGAGGCATCAACATGAAGATATATGAGCTTCACTCATGCACACATTTCTCCTCAGGTTGTCATTTTTTCGTCATCACCCTCAGCCTCTTCTTTGGAGGACCACATTTCTATTAAGTTGCGTTGTAATAATACCGGTATGTTTGAATGATTACATTCCTGACAAAGTCCAATTTATTTAATTGATTCATTCCTTTATACTTATTATTATATATAAACACTGAAATTTTGAAAAGACGTCTGTTATAAACGGTGTAAGGGTAAAATGGTGTAGCATTGTGGACGCCGATAGGGAGCCTAAGTCACACCCATCTACTTCTGGACCATGGGTCCCTGGAAGAAAGAAAAAATGAATGCAAGTTATTTTCTATTTCTGCTTGTTATGTACCATGGATTTCACATATGATGTCCGTGAACTTTAAAGACTCAGTCTGATGCCAAGAACTCGCTTATTTTCGAATGGAGAGAAACACCATTTTAGATTTTGTGTGAAAATAAGCCCAGGACTACAAATGTGAATCACCAAAGTGACATCATCGAACCAGGCACGGATAAAAACAGAGAGAAAATGGCTGTAAGTTCAGAAAACTTCAAATCCTTCCTTCAGGAGGAAAGAACCACCATAAATATGGCCATGTGGTAAGTAGCAGCTACGCTAGTGGAGAGGAGATTCTGAGGTCACATATGCAACGTGCTGATGTCTGATTTGTAGCCATGCTAATTATGAACTTTTACAAGCTGATAAATCTCAAAGTATGTGACAGGTGTGGTCGAAACACCCGACATTACTTTTCATTTAAATAGCAGTACAACATATGTGCGATCCAGGGTCTAAGGCAAAGTGGATTAGAAAATAGCTCTTTTAGCCCCGTTGACTTGCATTCATTTTTTTGTTCTTCCGGTGACCCAAGAGCCGACTGGAAAGGGAGGAGACTTAGGCTCCTTTTTAACTTTACTGTAGTGATTAAATGTTTTACAGCACAAATAACATACAAAATATTTTTTATACAGTAGGAATTAAAGGAATAATGAAATATAACAGTAATTAGTACTTATTCAATCATAATGGGTTGATGAGATTTGATCATTTAATTCTGGTTTAGTTTACGTTTGAAACAGCTTCCCATCCTTTAGAAACATGGGGTTGTAGTGAAAAGCAGTGTGAAGCAATTTATACAACTTGTCTAAATCCAGCAAGCATTTTCAAAGAAAGAGTGACCCATATACCATGGCTACTGCTGATAATGTACCAAAGAAACTAGAAAACAAATCAATCAGCCAAATCCATGAAATGAATACATTTGAGATGCTTTATTTTTTATGGATGAATGTAGATGTGCAGATCCAGACACCGTTGTTTTACGGGCTCAGGCGTACTCAATAAATAAAGGTTTATTTGTGTCTGCTGTAGTTCAGACTGGGCTGTGTCCATCTGAAGGCCGTCTCGGAGCCAGTGGAGGCAGTAAGGCAGGTGCTGATCCACAGTCTGCAGCGAGGAAACACTCTGCAGCAGCGCAACCACAAACTGACAGAGGAGAACCAGAGGCTGAGACGAGAACACCAGAGCATCACTGCACAGTAAACACATACGCACACACACACGTGCACAGCAAACAAACAAATCCCGCTGCTTCAAGGTGACATATAGGCCAGACAGTACCATTGCTCAGAAACACTGAAAGGCTACGAATTGGTGATGTCGGTCGCGAACAAAACGACTCTTAGAGCGGAATGACTTACTCCGACCCCCTATTTGAGTTTCACACAGCTGCAGATGTCACGTGAGGGAAACAGCTATTGGAGGCCAGCTCTTATCTGTCCTCTGTGAGCCTCTTAATTATCAGGTTAAAATGTGAGATCACAAATATAGTCAGATTATATCCGGATAAGAATCAGTGTGTGTGTGTGTGTGTGTGTGTTCCTGCGTGTCTCCTCTTCCAGGCTGAAGGGCTACTCTGAGGGTAAAGAGGCCCTTGAGGCAGAGCTGTACTCTCGGTTTGTTCTGGTCCTCAATGAGAAGAAAGCAAAGATCCGCAGTTTGCAGGAAACCGTCACAAACCTGCAGGAAGCAAAGTACGTTTTACACATTAACCATCTGTACAAGTTTACCATCGGTGCACAAACTCAGCATGCTGAGGTGCCTCACATTTTCTTCAGAGCTTCAGATGCTCAAAAAATGTCTTTGATTCTGTATTTATGACATTTTCTGAGTCACTGAGTTTCTTTTTAAGTTTGGCGGTGACCTAAAAAGCTTTGTATCATTCTAATGTGGCTCCTCCACAGGACTTCTGATGGACAGAGGAGCAGAGATTCTGCAAAGTCAGACCAAACAGCAGGTCAGGGTGGTGAGGTGGAGGAGGATGAGTATGGAGGCAGCACTGATGAAGAGCCAGAGGACGTGCAGCCAACACCAGTTCCTGATCTACCTTCCCGAGGTACGACAGTCACTTTGCTGTTCTCCAGAACACTCATATGATCAACTGGTTAACCATTTAGTGTCACCAGTGGTAGGTGTTCACTAATGATTTCACTTTATCAGATAACTGAATGTTGCCAGCAAGCAGCAAATGCGAGTTTACTGAAATTATTGAGGGGGATTTGATTTTACTGGACAGATTCTTGTAAAGCTCTAACCTGCTGATATTTTGGTTAGATCAAATGTTTCTTAAAGTGTTTTGTAAAGTAGGAGTTGGGTATATATATTTGAACGCGTTCACAGTTTCCAGTTAAATAAATCCAGCTAGTGAAGCAGATTAAAGTTGAAAGGCTCTATATGGCTATTAATAATATCTGTTGAGAATCTATTGTTGTTTTTTCAGTGTCAGTATTTTATTCTAGATCACATTTTCTAGTTTAGTTATTTATTCAAGATAAAATAATCACTGATGAAATCTTTTACATCATGTAAGAGCAGATGACCGAGACGTTTTTGTCTCAAACTGGAAATCTAATAATCCAGCTAAGCTGATATTTTCTTTACATTAAAAATATATAAACAGATGTATTGTTTAACATCTGACAGCTATTTATGTGTCTGTCGGTCGGTCTTTATTACAACACACCTACAGGTTTATGCTCCAGTGTTCTTTGGGTGCTTTAAATTTTTGAAAATGTTCACTTTAATTTATGTAGTTTTAGGTTTTTAAAAATACTTGACCTCAACTGGCATTGGTTGAAAACAAAATAATTGACTTAAATGGTAAAATAATCATTTTGAGCATGAACATTAAGCTGGGGTGGAATGACCACCTACAGTATGTGCTTCGGGCCAGTGTCGGCTCTCTAATGGCACTGACATGATAAGCCAATGATCTGTAAAAAATCATTTTTGTCTGTCTGCCTCTCACACCTCTTGTGAGTTCTCTAGATCTGTTTTAAGCACCTTACATGTTTTGCAAATAAAGAGTCCTCATGAATCTCTGATTGCTGGTGTGAATTAGCATCTGTCGCTGGTGCATTCACAGACCGGAGGGGAAAATCATATTTTTGAGTTTCATAACGACTCACGCCGAATATCTGCCAATTCTGATCACCAGTCACGTTGTGGGTGCATCTCTGTATGTAAGTTCTGATGCTGTCTCTGGATGATCAATCTGTAAGAATAATGAGAATAAAAGTTTAAATTTAGAATTTTAATAAAGTTTATTTATGAGGAATCTATTAAAAGTTAACGAAGCACAGTCAGGCTACCAGACTGCGATCATTCCATCACTGGAAGCAAACCATTCCTGATTTTGTCAGATCTCACCTTGGATATGATATGTTTGTCGTAGGTGCTGTTGGTATGGTAACCCTTTGTGTCACTCTGTGATTTCATACCCTAAAGTCAGTTATGACATCACTGAGGAGTTGTGTAATACAAGTACAGCTTTAAATATAAGCAGCCCCTATTGTTGACATTACACTTCATCATCCTCCAAACTCTCACTCCCCACCGCCCTGGTTATAAGTCACGTGCCTTTACTATGAGCTAAAACATATCACGTTTTGAACATAGAGCCTTTCACACAGCTGAGACAGACTTTGACTCAGCTGTCCCAGATTTTCCATTTGCTAACAGTACACAAGCAGGTTATGTTCTTTTGATAGTTTTTTGGAGACTTGCATGTTCCTGGTGGCTTTATTTCTCCTGATGAGGGCAGGTTTGTAGGAATTATTTTGTTTCTGTTGCCATGGAGCTCAGATGGTCAGCAGATATACAGAAGGAGGGGAAGGAGAGTGTTTTGGTCTTGTGAATACACAGGTTTTGTTTTGAGTTTTCTAGACACTGCTGCCACTGATGAAACTTACTGTCACATCATGTAAATATGTTTACAAGACTTCTCATGTTCTCATGCTGAAAATAGAGAAAAAAGGGTATTTTTTTATTTCTTTTGTTTGAACCTTGTGATACCTTAGTGGCCTTCAGGGAGACAGTTACAGAAGACAGGTGAGTTGATCAGTAGGTACTAGGACAGAATGGGATAGCTGTGGATGAGTGGGCGGAGTGGTTGTGTGCCAGTCAGAAGGTCGGTGGTTAGATCCCATCCCCACCACATGTCAAACCCCATGTAGCTACCCTGTGCAGCCGATTGAGTGTACGAGTGGGTGAATGTAACTTGCAGGGTAAAGCGCCTAAAGTGGTCAGAATAAATTAAAATGCTTTATATAGCACTTTTTGACCATAGATAGGGTTTAGCAGGCCCAGCACTGGCCACTTTGCAGTCCATCCTGTCAAGATGATTGTTAGGGGAATGGGGTGCTCGCAGATCTGTTCCTTAAGTGTTCACGGGATGGGGAAGAGGGCCTCATGGAAGTTTTTTTTTTTTCATATAAAACCTGAATCTTGGTGCTGGCCAATTGTTGCCCTACACACAGTGTGAGATGTGCAAGGCCTGGCGCTGGGCTTTAGTATTTATAGCACAGAATAATTTGATAAATATGTCATAAGCAATTCATGGTGGCAAATCTACTTTTTATTCTATTTTCACTCAGTGTATCCTAAAAAAAAAATCACCAAACAGGTTTCTATTTTGGATGCTGTGATGTCCTTTGTTTCACAGAATTCCACAAGTCAAGTGGCTGGTCCCAAGGGAACTGTCTAAGATGGATCAGTCAAGGTGGATGACCAAATGGTCAAACTGCTTGGGATAACAAGGGAAGGTTAGAATTTGGGATGGATGGATTATGGGTCAGTTTTGGATAGATAGCACAAATATTCTGATAGCTATACTTAAGATAAAAGGCATTCCTGCTACTTAAGGCTTTCTAGAGTGAATCACACTGCTCAGTGGCTTGGTTTTAGGGTACTGCAATAGGAGAAATAACCCAAACTTACAATAAAAACACTCGAGTGGCTGATAAAAACAAAGTACTCTTTCTAACTGGCCGCTCATTGCCCTGAACCTTAATCTTGTTCAGTATCTGTGGAAAGATCAGAGCATTGCAGAATGAAGACGCCACCCAATCTGAGACAGCTGGAGCAGCTTGCTTAGGAAGAGTGAACCAAAGTACCTGTTAGTAAATGTAGACATCTCTTAAGCGTTAAAGGTGCTACCAAGAAATATGAAATTAGAGGTTTCATATGTTTTTGTTCATGTCAATAAAATTTATTTTGTGTCACACTCAGCTTAAATAATAATAAAAAAGGAAAAGCAAAGTCTGGTTTGTGTTAAATATGGACTTGATGATAAGGGATGCCATCAAACACATTTAAAGGACCTGTCTCATGCTTTTTTAACCTTTCTGAGCAATGATAGGCCCATCCATTTTCTATACCTGCATGGCCATGCAGGGCCACGGTGGGGGTGGGGGTGGAGCTATTTCCAGCTGTCTCCAGGTAAACAGGCGTGGTACACCCTGGACTAGGGGCTGCATGACTTAATTTATTTTTTTAAGTCGACAGTCAAGTAATGAAAATCTAGTCGACTTTGACTAGTCGTTGATGACGTCATACACCTGAAGCAGGTTGGTTCGCTGGAGTTTTTGACAATTTAAATTGCGCCCACATTTTCAAAGTTAAACACATCTCTTTTAACAACGGTAGTTTTTGCATCTTTACTGTTCCCCTGCTTCAGCCCTCTCACTCCTCCCCCTGCGCAGCAGCCGCAAACTCACTGATGCGCCTGCAGCCTCTCAGAGTTTCTGCTGATCTAAACATTAAAATAATTATTTCATTTTCTGTTCCTCACTTCTGATTACCTTCAATGGTGTCTGTTTGTTGCAACCAGCAGGTACAAAAACTAACTTGTTTTTATTTGACTATTTTTCTGTCCTGTCTCTGTTTATTATCTTCCTGCATCTCCTCTCAATCCTAAAGAAAAACTGCTACCTGGCTTCATTTATTTTCACCTCATGAGTTACCTTTGAACTGCAGTTCTAAAAGATCTACCGACCGCAAAAACAGCGGAGTGCATGCTGGCCGCACCGGTGAGATGAAATCACCGGAGGACAAAACAGGTGATGCACTCTGCTCCACAGCAGCGAAATGCATCAGGCACAAATAAAAGACAGAAAACATAAAAGGAAATGAGCCAACATGAACGATCACGTGTTAAATTTGTTTTTGAGGTGGTGACACCTAATTTTATAATGTTAGTGTGGCCGTGCTCGGGACACAGATGTCTGGAGTGCATCAACGATCAGAACTTTGCATGCGCAAGCCGGTTAAGTTTAGGATGGGGGTGAGGGGAAGGTTAAATTGCAAGAGGGTAAAGGTCACAATTTGGTCAAATGTCCATTTAACCGCGGGCGTCAGATACCGACGCTCTGGAACAGCGTGTCGCCTCCCGACGCGCAGGGGCTCATCACCTTTTCTGAGGACTGCATCTTGTAACAGTCATTTCATTCCGTTACATCGGTCATTATCACGTGACAGCGAGTAGTCAATGAAAAGCATAAAAAGTCACTACAGAGCAGTGAAGTCGACTAGTTCATACAACCCCTACCCTGGACATGGTGCCATTCCATTGCAGGGCAACGCAGAGACACACAGGGCAATCACCCAAGCACACACACTCACAACTAAGGATAATTTAGAGAGACCAATCAACCTCACAGTCATAACCGTGCGAGGAAGCCGGAGTACCCATGCATGCAAATAGTGAACATGCAAACTCCTTGGAGAAAGCCCCCAGGCCAGGATTTGGACCCAGGACCTTCTTGCTGCAAGGCAACAGTGCTAACCACTGGATTGGCCCATGTACTATTAAAACATTACCGTTGGCACAATTGAGTCCTAATTTGTTCTGAAACACAATTTATTTTCATGAGATCAAGTTATTTTCTCTTACTACACAGAAGACAGTTGGATTCAATGAAATCACGCCTCTAACTCAACCCAGCCTTTATTTATAAAGCACCAGACATGTCACCAAAGTGCTGTACAAAATAGAATAAAGACAGATAAAAACCAACAGAGAAAATTCAAACCAACAAGTAACAATTACAAGGTAAAATCATCTAAAATAATAGCAACAGCTAACCAACAGAGTTAAAAGTCAGATTATAAAAGTAGGTCTTCAGCCTCATTTTAAAAGCCGCTACTGACGAGCAGAGCCTAACAAATAAGGGAAGTGCATTCTACAAGTTTAGACCCACTACCAAGAACGCTTCAGCACAGTTCTGGTAGCCAAAAGCAGCAGCTGGTTCTTGGAGTAGAGCGTCTGAACAGGGACATATGACTGCTGCCACCTGTGTGAATTCCACCCATTTCATTACATAACCCTAAATCTCCAAGCGGCATGAGCCACAGCAAAGAAAAAAGCTGGAAAACCATGCAGATTGACACCCTCATCCTATCCCACTCCCTATTTTGTCTGTCTGAGAAGCCGTTAACGGAACATTAACAAACACTGCCCACACAGGGGAAAAGCTACTGGGATTAATTATTGTCCCAGTCTGTCTTTGACCCACCAAACTTGATAACCACTAGCTGAATGGTTAGCATTTTGGTTGTCCTCACATTTCATGCCTACCCATTGGGTTGTTTTAACTTTAGAACAGCGCAGTTCTGAAGATAATAATTCTATTCTAGCAATGATTCTGCAAACCCACTCTGGTAGTGGCAGACAAGACAAAAATAAATCACTTTTTCACAACTGTGGAGATTATTCTATCCTCTGGCTACATGGATAGCCTGGGCGTTAGTGTTCACAGTCCAGGGGAGGCGGGATCTGGACCCGAGACTCCCTGGTTGGGGAGGAGTGTGGTAAGGATTATGCAAACCAGCCCCAACCAGCTATTTCCAATGCCATAGCAGAGCTGAAGAGTAGCTGTACCTGAGACGGTAAAATGCATGTGTCAAGCCAAAAACTGTCCCAGGGTGTTTTGAAGAAGAAATAACAATATAACATGGTCAAAATGAATTTTACATGATATAGTCCCTTTAAGTTATTGCGGAGATAGTTGTATTATCTATATAGTAAAATTATCTATATTTAATGGTCTGAATGTAGGAATTTTCTTCAGTTTTTATTTCACACCGTTTCCCTCCTTAGAATCCTCTACTCCGAGCCCTCTGGGTCTGCGTGACATCACTGATGTGGCTCCATGTCGCAAACGCCGCTTCCGCCACCTCGAGGTCCTGGAGCCCGCAGTGAAAAAATCTAATCCAGCTGCTGCAGAAAGCAAAAGGTATGAATCAGTGTTTAGTGTTGTTCACACATGTCATCGTATGATTCTGTTGTATGTGAAAAAGCAATTTCTCTTACACAATGTCAAGTCTTGCCTTAAATTGTGTAGAATCCTCGCTTGAAAGGGATTCAATTCAATTCAATTTTATTTATAAAGCGCATTCACAAGGCATTACAACCAAACAAGGCGCTGTACACTAAAAATGTTAGTTAATTAAACAGGCGGTATACAAACATGTCGAACACAGATAAAAGATAAAAAGGAAATGCAACAAAATTCCCAAAAACTAACAGCTAAAAATCAATAAGACACAGGGAGAATAAAAATTAGAAAAACATTTTAAAAGAACCTCAATAGTACGGAATGACGATATTGTAAAGTCCATTTTTAAACAATGCAGATGTAAGTGATGGTCATAATTATGTTGTATAAGCTAGGTTGAAGTAGTGAGTTTTCAAGCGTGATTTAAAAATGCTAGCTGTTGGTGCTTGCCTCACTAGCAGTGGTGGATAGCAGAGTCTTTGCAGTGTTATATGACTGGGTTTTACTCAAGGACCACACAATTTTTCCTTGTCGTCTTCATTTTATTTTGTAGTTTTTTAGAAGGTTTAGGATTGTGGTTGGTCACGTGCAGGTAAAAACCTCGAAAACAATTCAAACAAGAAACATGTAAATGCAGATGGTTAAAACAAGCCCATACTATACATTTTACTAAATTCAAATTGCACAAATACTTAACTGAGAACCAACAGAATAGTACACAATTAACTTCAAAATAATTGTTTTTATTTTAACTATTTAACTATTTAAATGTTTTAATAATTTATGCAAAATTGAACAACCTTTTAATTCTCTTAATTTATGCAGTGCAAATATCTTAAACATGTTTATTGGTTTTTTAAATTAATGATCTTAAACTTTCAGCTCAATGCATCTAAAATTTACAAAAGCAGATGACAAAGTCTATCAAATGTTGCTAACAAAGTCTTAAAACACAGTGCTTTGCAGTGCAAACTATTGATGTCAAACAAATATGGCCATGCCACATCACCATGCTAGTAGGCCGGTAGCTAAGCTACAGCCAACCAGAAAACAACTCCAGCAACAAAGTTTCTTAAGTTTCTCTCTTACCGGCTGCCTTCCTGCTGCTTGAATCAAGACTGCCAGCTCCACACAGGCTTGCCACATAAGCAAAAAGTGCTTCACATGGGCCAAGGTTTGGTACCTGTGATTGTCTGACTACTAAAACTGGGCGTCGGTTGGTGCATCACCTTTTATAGTCCTGATCCTACCACTGCCAAACACAGTTCCACCATAATTGTTTCTAACTAATTTACATTTAAGCAAACAAACATTACTTCCCCATTTACCTTCTTTTATTAGACTTCAAAAGAATTTATTTATTTATTTTATTTATTTATTTTTTAACAAAACACACAATGTCTAAGTTTGTGGCAGGATATCCTTTAAATTTAAAAATACAGTCTGGCCATGACTCGTTGACAGCTCTCAGGCATGGGGCAGGATCTGCAGTTGTCTTTCAAAGGGTTTCCACATGCTACTGGACAACAAAAGTGACATACTCACAGCTATGATGTCAGTCAGTGAGACAGTCCACCATACATCGTCAAAGAAGACGTAAATACATAATTTTTCTTAATAAGTACCTCTGTCTGCTCTTGACTCAAAGAAAAGCCCAAGTCTAAAAAGTCCAAAGTTGATGTCAAAAACTGTTCAAACTAAACAGTTACGGGAGATGTCCAAAAAGTTTGAAAGCCTTTTGTGTTCATCATGTGTTTGAAAACAAACAGCATTTAAGGTATTTGGCGAGCTGTTAACGCAGATACAACTTTACTCTCACCCGGCATATTTTACTGAGGATGTTTTTCTGCTCATCATCTGACTCCTTAAATCCAAACCAAGTCCGTGTAGCCGACGTCACCCCATGCTCTTTACAAGCACTTCTTCATCCATGCACTCTGCTCAGGAACAGTTGCTGCGTTTCGTCCAGAGGTAACGCTGATTGACAACATCCATGCAAAGCGGAAGGAGTGTGTGCTCAGACCCACTGCCTTGTTGAAGCTCTAAACTGGCGTGCTCATTGATGACGTCATTAGCAAGCACAACCGGTTAGCCGGTAGTTAATAATTGTATTTCACAGGCAAAAATTATACCAGTCCAAGCTAGTTTATTCTGTGTATTACTAATAGATATTTGGAATACATATCCTTTCTGTCTAATAAATGTTAAAAGGATTTTAGGGATTCTGCAATATCTCAAACTTAATATACTAGTGCAGTTATTATGGATATCCTTAAATGTAATTTCTATAGTAACAACATAACTGTTGATGTCTATTTTTGCAATGTTGACTAATAATAATACAATAGGTACTAGGATAAATTAAATTATTGCTACATAAAATAGAAATTACAGAGAGGTTTGATTGTTGAATAGATGCTAAAACGCCTTGCCATAGTTCTGCTCTCAGCAATCCAGGGTACACTGTGTGTGTGTGTGTGTGTGTGTGTGTGTGTGTGTGTGTGTGTGTGTGTGTGTGTGTGTGTGTGTGTGTGTGTGTGTGTGTGTGTGTGTGTCATAAATCTTGCACTTAAATCATAGTTTCTGTGTCTGGAGTCCCATTCAACGACACTGTAGTAACACGCCACGTTACAAGCCCAGTGATGTTAACGGCGTTGCAACAATGGGAAAAGTAATTAATTAGATTACTCCTTCCTAAAAATAACACTGTTAGTAATGTTGTTGTTATAGTAATGCTGTTACTCCCAACACTGATCAGTATAAGGAAAAGTGTTAGGAAGTGAATGTGCATCACTGTCTTTATATATATAAAAAAGATATGAATATATTCCGAGTGCCTGTGCCACTGTGATAATGACTAAACAAACATTTCTGACCCTCTTACTTAATGGACAGTCTGTCCTCATAATCTGATAGAAAGCTGAGTGGACCCAAGTGGAGTGACCCAGATCAGTATTCTCAGATCACACTAATTATCTAACAGACCCCCTGATGAGGTGTTTAAAGCACTTCACCTACAGGACCTGTTGGGTTGATGGTCATAATTAACAACTGACTGAAATGAAAAGAATTTCCTTGCATTTTGTTTAGTCTGTCTTCATCAAATTATCAATTCTCCCATACTGGACTCAGTACATGAGGTGGGTGACAACACGGTCCTGAAAAAATTTAAATCCTTGCTGGACCATGAGTCTCCCCCCTGCAGGACGCCCTGTCTGCTCTGGAGAGCAGCGTCAGTGACAGACTGATCCACCCTCGCTGTGTGAAGGAGCGATACCACTGGTCTTTCCTTCCTGCTGCTGTTAGACTCTTTAATGGATACTCCTATTATGCAACTAACATTTCCTTCTGAGAGCTTTAGGTTTAGGGGAAAGGCAGTCAATATTTCATTTGTTTAGACATTTATTTCATCACAGCTTTGTAATTCTGAACTGAGTCCATTGGTTAATTAGGATTCCTGGTTAAAGTGTTTTACTTTTGCTGTTTTAATTGTGCGTGACCATGCTCCACTGGACAGGAGTGTAAAACCGCATCTATGAATGGAAGTACAGGAGCAACACTGTGACTCCAGACACAGAAACTATGGTTGAAGTGTAAGATGTATGAATGTAACTGTGTATCCATAAAGGAACCCAGCAAATTGTATCAAGTCACAGACTAGTGTCAGAGTATTTACAGCAATCCTCATACTAAGCAAGCATTTAGCGACAGTGGGAAGGATAACTCCCCTTTAACAAGAAGAAACCTCCAGAGGATCCTGGCTCAGTATAAGCAGCCATCCACCATGACTCACTGGGGATCGAGATGACAGAGCAGACACACGCGTACACCAGCACGCGCACGCACGCACGCACGCACGCACACACACACACACACACACACACACACACACACACACACACACACACACACACACACACAAACCCTAAGGCCTGGAGGACAGCAGAACCCCTGCACTGCTGCCTCCCAGACTGCTGAAGGAACAGCCTTTTTATCCCAGGTGTGGGTCACCAGCTGAATTCAGCTCAGCTCTGCTCCTCAGCAGCCTGGAAGAGAGGAGGAGGGGCGGTGTCAGGCTGATCATCAGGGCTGGGTGATCTTGGCTCTTGCATCTCACTGGCCAGGCTGGTAGCCGTAACACCTGGTTAAAGATAACACCAAGGTTCCTTACTTTGTTCTTGGAGACTAATTTAATGCCGTTCAGGTCAGGTGATTAACTAAGCAATTTCCTTTTCTGAAGTTCTGGTCCAAAGATGAGAACTTCAGTCTTGTCTTGATTTAAAAGCAGAAAGTTTAGAGTCATCCAATTTTTATGTCTTCAAGACAAGCCTGTAATCTATCTAACCCAGGGGTGTCAAACTCAAACTCACACGGGGCCGAAATGAAACTCTGGGACGGAGTCGAGGGCCAACCTTAATATTTTTTGAAAAAGTGACGGCAAATTTGCACATTTTCTTTATCAACATTTATGCAATTTTGAACCTTTAAATTTGGAAACAAACTTATTTCTGCATTAACACTGAATGTGGAATAACCAAATTACACACGAGCAAGTCAGTTAAAAATAAAACAGATCAGTGGTATTCATTACTTGTGGTATAATCAGCATTTTTAAAATCTATTCAGGATTTATGTTTTCTTGATTATTCATTTTTCTTTTTCTTTTTTTCTCCTGTAATAAGTGTCATCGCTGCTGTGACATCTAGCTTTCCCCACTGAGGAACAATAAAGGGATTTTCTATTCTATTCATCTATCTGCAGCCTTTCCACTTCCTGTTTACTGTAGGTTAAATATTTTCTCACGGGCCAACAACAAAATAAAAATATCATTTTATCTTAAATGAAAATGCAACATCTCACCTGTTAACTTTCATGTTTTGGAGCAGAAAAAGAGCATAAAACCAACATATTTAAAGCTCAGTTTGCTCCACTGGTTTACTGTGATGCTAACCTGTTCCAGCCAGATACCTGCATCATGGGGTTGATCTGAGCTGAGGAGGAGACTCCTGTTGTTTTGTTCATCTTCATCATAATAATGACAACATTAGATGACAACAGCTGCTCACATAGGTTTGTGCTGATGAACATGTCTGAGCAGCTTGACCACGTTGTTGTGTGTCGGGGAGGGAACTCGACAGCAGCCACAGAGCCGTGCTGGTTTGAGCGTGTCGCTGGAGTTATATTAGCTCTGTCTGGACGTTAGTTGGAAAACTTCCTCTTTAAGTCGTGAACACATTACTGAGCGGCTAGAATCTCCGCTTCTGGGCTTCAACGTCAGAAAACAGCTGAGTGAACTCGGCGCAGAGTGAGAGGAGTGTAGTTTGCCCGATACAGCGGAGCTGCAGAGACCCAACTACCCCTGACTGCCTCGGGCTGGAAAAAACACAAAGGAGCGGGCGCTTTGGCTCCGCGCTAACGCCGCAAAGCACCATGGGAGTTGTAGTCTTTGCGGTTAAATCGGCCAGCGGGTCAGTTTTAATATATTTTTGATTTTTATCTCGCGGGCCACATAAAAATGCTCCGCGGGCCACATGCGGCCCACGGGCCTTGACTCTGACATATGTGATCTAACCGATCAGGTTCATCAGGGTTAATGGATAGATATAACTGAGTATCGTCAGCATAACAGTGGAAGTTTATCCCATGCTGTCTAATGATTTTACCAATTGGAAGCATATATATACATATATATATATACATATATATATATATATATATATATATATATATATATATATATATATATATAGTAAAAATAATTGGTTCAATCACTGAACCCTGTGGTACTCCAAAAGTAACCCTGGAGTATGAAGATTTGTCATGTACATTTACAAAATGAAATATATCAGACAGGTAGGATTTTAACCAGCCTAGTACTGTTCCTTTGATCCCTACAACATGTTCAAGCCTTTCTTAAAGAACATTGTGATCAACTGTGTCAAAGGCAGCACTGAGATCTAACAAGACATTCAGGTGACTACCTCTTGAAAGCTTATCAGGAGAATGCGAAGAGTGTGCAAAGCAGTAATTAGAGCAAAGAGTGGCTATTATTTATTTATTTTTTGCTGTTGAAGAAAATAGAAAATAAAACATGTTTTCGGTTATTTCACCTTTTTGATTAAGTACATAACTCCACATGTGCTCATTCATAGTTTTGATGCCTTCAGTGAGAATCTTCCAACGTAAATGGTGTTGACAATAAAGAAAACACATTGAA